AGGGTGTTGGATTCCCTAGAGCTTGAGTTGCAGGCAGTTTGAGTGCCCACATGAATGCTGGAGCAATATCTAGATCCTCTGCCATGGCACAATGCACCCGCTACTGCCAAGCCAGCGCTCCAGCCCTTGGGTTTCCTTCTAGCCCACACTCCCGTCTCAGCCCTCGGTGACCACTCTTCCCGTGAGAGTGATTTAGATTCCCCACAAATGAATGAGAACACGTTGTGTTTATCTTTCCATGTCCGGGTTATTTTACTAAATTCATTAACCTCTAGTTAATATCTATTCTGCCACAAATGACTTGGCTTCATTTTTGTAATGAAATAGCATTCCATGTGTATATACATGTATCTATCTCACATGCTTTTAATCCTTCCTCTGCTAAGGGTAATCTGGGCTGGTTTTGTGTTCATCATCGAGAATACTACTGTAAGAAGCACAGAGGTGCAGGTATCTTCCGCCTCCCTTGGATAACAGCGTCATCTGTCTCAGATTCCATCGGGGCTATTGGATACTATGATAGTTTGATTTCTAGTTTCCCACAATGGCCGTGATAGCTTATATCTCCTCAGCTGTGCACGAGTTCCCTTCCCTCCACATCTCAACATCATTGGCTATTCTTCTGTCTGACAATGGCCATTGCTGGGGGTGAAACAACATCTCATGGTGCTTTGACTTGTGTTTCCCTGATGATATATATATACACACACACATATATAAATATATAAATAAATATGTGTTTGTTGACTGTCGCTCTGTTCTCCACTTTGGTTCTACAGCCCATTTTTTAGTTACATTGCTTTTGTGGTGTTCAGCTTTCTGGGCTCCTATGTATGCTGGATGTGGCCCCTGCTGGAAGAACAGCTGACGGGTACTCCTCACTCTCCAGGCTGTCTGTCAACTCTGTTGGTTGTCACCTTGGCTTTATAGACATCTTTTCATCTGAGAGAATCCCACATGTCTGTTTTTTCCAGTCTGAGCTTTTGGAGTCCCGTCGAAGCCAGCCATTGCTTTTGCTGACTAGTGTCTTGAGGCTTTTCCTGTCTTCTTGCTGTCATAGTTCCAGGCTAACCCTCAGGACTTCATCCATTTTCAGATGGAGGGAAGGGGGACCTTTTGCATATGCATAACCAACTATGACAGCAGCTTATCAAAGACACTATCTTCTCTCCATCGTATATTCTCGGCACCTTTGTCAAAACTCAGGTGGCTGTATGATCATAGATTAATTTTTGGGCTCTCTGTTCTCTTCCATGGGCCTTTGTGTCAGGTTCTCAGCTAATATCATGCTGTTAGAATCACTATAGCTTTTCAGTTAGTGAATTAGACAGCTAGTCCCTGTACCCATCTATCCTAGTCTCACAGGCCAGGTGGGCCTCAAACTCACAGCCCCCCCACCTCAACTTCCCCAGGGGCGACCCTGCAAGTGTATACACCACCAGCTCTGGAGTGTAATCCTGCAAGTGTGTACACCACCAGCTCTGGAGTGTGATCCTGCAATTATGTACACCGCCAGCTCTGGAGTGTGATCCTGCAAGTGTATACACCGCCAGCTCTAGAGTGTGATCCTGCAAGTGTATACACCGCCAGCTCTAGAGTGTGATCCTGCAAGTGTGTACACCGCCAGCTCTGGAGTGTGATCCTGCAAGTGTGTACACCGCCAGCTCTGGAGTGTGATCCTGCAAGTGTGTACACCGCCATCTCTGGAGTGTGATTTGGAGTGAGGTGTTTTCTTCAAGATTGCTTTGATTACTCTGGAACTAACACAATTTAGTGTTTGTTCGTTTGCTTCTTCCCTCTCTATGTCTGCCAAAAGGGCCTCCCTCTGCATTCATTGACTTGGGACTCACTGCATAGCCCAGGCTGACCTTGAATTTGTGTGGCATTCCTTCCTTCTGCTCCAACTTTGCGAGGGCTGGTGTTGCAGGTGTGAGCTATCACCCCTGGCTGGCACAGGGCTGCTTTCTTAGTTCTGTTCCAGAACATTCATTATTGTGGTATGAAAATGGCGGTAGGTTTGTGCATTGATTGTTTTGTCTTGTCACTTTATTGGATTTGTTTGTAAGCTCTAACAGCTTTTTAAAAACTGATTTTTTAGTTCAACACACGTGACGGGCTTCATCTGACGGCAGTTAGGTTTCCCTCCACATAAAACCACACCATCTGCATGCACCTAGTTTAACTGTCCCCTCTCCCTTGCCCAGTTGCTCCTGCAAAGATGTTAGAGGCATGGGCACCTTAGTCTTGCTTCTGATCTCAGAGAAAACACAGGCAGCTTCTCCCTTGGCACTGTGATTGATTTGACTATGGGCTGTTCACTTACTGCTCTTACTGTCTTGAGGTGCGCCCAAGTCTACACCGTGTTGGTGGAGAGTTTCTCTATTTGCACAAGGGCTGTTGAAGTCACTTTTGTAGAGACAGCTGGGCAATGGCAGTTCCGCTGGATTCGTGCTTTTGCATTGGCTATAGTGCCTGTTGACCACCCAGTATCTGCAAAAGGGGGGAGTCACCTGTTCACCACTCACCAACTCAAACATCAGAATCCTTCTCCTCCCTCTCCATCTTCAACCTGTTTTCTTCCCTCCCTCTTCCTTCTTTCCTACCCTTCCTCTCTCCCTCCCTTTTCCCTCTCTTCCTCTATTCCTCTCTTTCTCTGACTTATACACACACATGTACACACACGCGCGCGTGTGCACGCACGCACACATGCATGCACGTGCACACACATGAAAGCAATTAGGTAAGGAAGAAACAGACCGAATTTACCTATTCATTCATTCCCAGGATGTTTTCTGAGCCCACTCTGAGCGCTGAGTGCTGGTCCAGCCCCGAGATAAGCAGAACACAATAGACATGGTCCCCACTCCATGGAGTTTCTACTCTAGACTGAAGGTGCAGGCAATGAACAAAGGGAGACCACATGTTCTTTTGGGGGATCACTTAAGTACCCTGGGGGTGGGGTCAGGACCTGGCCTGCTGGGATTTGAAGTCCAGACCAGGCCTGGGGGGCTGGGATAGATGCAAGGACCTACGCTCCCAACCTAACTGTGTGTATATATGTCTATTTGTGTGTGTGTGTGTGTGTGTATGCGTGTGTGTGTGTGTGTGCACAGTACACATACAATGTGGGTGTGCATGTAGGTGGGGATCCAAGGTTGGCATCAGACGTCTTCCTCAATCACTTCATGTTATTTTTGGAGACAGTCTCTCAGTGAATGAACCTGGAGCTCACTGATTTGACTAAATCGGTTAGTGTAGGGGCCCGCCCTACAAGCTGGGGCTTCCCCTACAGGTTAGCCAGTAAACTCTAGGGGTCCTCTTGTCTCTACCTCCCCAGATCTGGGATTACATCATTGCGGGCACCACTAAGGGCATTTTACATGGGCGCTGGGGATCCAATTCAGTCATTCTGAATTAAGGAGCCATCCCCCAGTGCCTCGGCCAGCAGCTTTATTAAGAGCCTGCTTTGTTTCACATAGATATTGCGGTACTTATGCATTGCCCTAGCTAGTGGAAGACTGACCAGTGTTCTGTATGTCTTTCTTTTTATTAGGGAAAATTATAAAATGTGCAGGTCTGTCATTAAGTGTATATTAATTCATTAATATATTAATTAATAATATATAATAATATTATATTATATATACTATTATATCATCATATTATATATTGTATATATTATTATACTATTATTATATAATAATTGTTATATAACTATATTATATAATAGTTATATAATTAATTAATATATTAATTCATTGCCACTAAGTACATTCTCTCTGTGGTGTAGCCACTACCGCTATCCAGCTCTGGAATTTTCCACCACCTCAAGCTAGAATTCTATAGCCATTAAGCAATTAGTTTCCCCTGATTCCCCCACCTTCCAGCCCTAGTGCTCCAGTCTCCACAATCATTGCAAATTTGTCTATTCCAGATCATTCCTAGACATGGACTCTTACAATATTTGTCCTTTTATGGAGGCTGACATTGCTTAGCATGAGGATAAATTCCTTCACATTGTCGCATTTGATGGAGCTGACTCCTTCCCATGGCTGACTAGGCCCACGGTGTATACGAGCCACTCTGTGTCTCTGTTCATATGCGGATCATGGGCTGCTGGATTGTCCACTTCAGGGATACTTCCAAAAACCTGGAACCCTGAGTGTGCCTAGGATGGTCCAGAGGCCCCTTAGTGGCCAGACACGGGTGCTGAGCTTGCAGGTGATAAACCTCAGCTGTCCTCTTAGCCTAGGGTGAGCCTCTTCTTCCCATGCTGACCACACCTAGGATCTGGTGTTCTTCCTGCCCTTCCACAGCCATGGTGTTAACTGGGGTCTCCAAGGAGCCTATCTCACCATTGGCTTTTAAGCATCAAGTTATAGCTGGAAGTGAGGCCTGGCCTTGAAATTCTACAGAATTTTAAGTGGCTCAGGATGGGGGAACCATGCTGGTGGCCTGGGGCAGCGCATACCAAATGGCTTCCAGTCTCTGTGATAGAAACCCCACAGAGGGGTTATGCGTACTTCCCACAGTCCCTTCTCAGCCTCAGTCTGATCTCCTACCACCATTTGCTTATTAACAGTCCTTCTCCCACCTCTCCCCTGTGAGAAGACGCTGTGCTACATAAGGACCCTGTGCTTGAGGGAGAAGGCCTCGCCATAATGTGTGTTACCCTTCTGCCTACCCCGGCCCATCCAGGAGGAGGGGTTTCCATTGTTCCTCACTGAAACCAGTGTGGTTGCTGGGGACTTAGTTAATAAGAGTATATAATTCTTTGGTACTCTTCCACTGTCCAGCCTGTCCCTCAGCTGGTCTGAGTGGCCACAGGAGAGCTTGGCTAAGCCCATTCTTAGGTAACCTGCCTCCTCGCTCATCACCAGGAAATGAATGAAGCCTGATGTTCCCTGTTCTCTCTTCCAGCCAGAAGAGGAGATTCTGGTCCCCGCCTCAGTCAGTCTCTTGGAGCTCTGGGGCTACTCATGACCATTTTTCTTTTTCAGAACGGTTAATCTGGAAAACCCAGTGCTGCAGCAGGTGCTAGAGAGGAGGAACGAGGTCCTGTGTGTGCTGACGCAGAAGATTGTGACCACGCAGAAGTGCGTGATATCTGAGCATGTGCAGACGGAGGAGAAGTGTGGAGGCATGGTGGGGATCCAGACCAAGATTGTGCAGGTGCCGTGTCCCAGCTCGGGGACCTTTCCTGGAGTCGCCCTCAGCTAGAACTTGTCCTGCAGGGAGTTAGAAATGGGACTCAAGCTGGCTGTAGTAAACAAGATCTCCCTGACTCAGGCAGCTGAGCTCTTTCAGGCATCTGGTCTCAGTTACCGTGGGACCCAGGACCTGAGGGGGTTTTGAGCCTCGGTCCTTCCAAGAAAGTTATGAAGTAGAAAGGAAAATAATTCTATGATTGGGGGTCACTGCAACATGAGGAAGGGTCACAGCATTAGGAAAGCTGAGAACCACTGCTCCAGTGGCTAGCTGGGTCTGGACCAGGCCTGGCCCCTTATGGAGGTAGAGTGCTTCTGTCAAGGAAATTGTTTAGCCAGGCACTAGGTGGGCCAGGAACAAGAGGATCTGTCTGTCTATCATTTACTGTTTCTTCCAGATTCCAAGCTGACCCTAGAGCTGGTTCATTAGCCCTGAACTTCCTACAGCTGACTTCATGGCCTCTAATCGTTAACAGTTTCCTTCTTGGTAGTGCTGGCTTTTTCTAGAAGACTGTATTTGGCAGGGGCTGGTGGACATGTAGTCTAAGTCTAGGTCTGGGGCTGCTGGGTAGGCAGGTGAGCAGCTGGACCATAGAGGGGGAAAGACCTGAAAGAGGCGGCTTCAGCTGGCCCTGCTGACACTTCTGCCTATGGTCACCACCTTCTGAAGCTCTGGTCCTGGGAGTTGGTATCCCAACTGCTGCTGCTGCTTCTTTTGAAGCAAATCCGCATGCCAGGGGCAGATGGCTAATCTGGGCTGTCTCTAGTGACTGGCCAACAAATAGATCTCTGGCTTCCTGTTCCTGGGTGTACTGCAGGAAGGGTTTGTTCCTGCCCGATACTCCAGTCCTGCCTATCCATCTTCCTCCTATCTCAAGGTTTTTCTTCCAGCCTCTCCTACGTCTCTGCTATGTCTGTCTGTGCACAGAGCATTATCCGTAGATGTGTGAACAGCTCAATGAGCATTTCCCAGCCCAGCTTTATCCTGTTGGGATTTTCTCTGGGATTTTAAAATAGTTTCTCAAAGCCGGAGAAGGGAATTGGAAACTGAGCTTGTTTACCGGCAGTCACATATCCCTTAGCCATGCTCTGAGTTACACACCACCAGGTAATTCGTTGGTGGTGATGTCACACCACGGAGTAACTTACACAGGCCTAGATGTCTGCGGGGGTTCATGGTGGACCTGAGGGATGCAGTGAACCTAAGATGCATGAGGTTGCTGCCAGCCTAACTGAGCATAGTTTATAATTTCCTTCCTCCCTCCCTCTCTCCCTTCCTCTCTTCTTTCCTTTCTCCTTCCTTACTTCCTTAAGGAATATACTCTTCAAATGCTGTAAAATGGTTAAAGATCTGGCCTAGTGTGCATGAGTCAGTAGTGTAGTCATTTATCCTTACCATGTGTTCTGTGCTGACAGCGACTATAGGTGCCCAGGGGAGCTGTTACCAGCATCGCCATAGACACGAGTGATGCGCTTTGCAGTGGTGTTACAGTGCTCATGATGGGACTAGGAGGCAGAAACTTTTTGGTTCCATTAATCACCTTAGTGTGGGACCACAGTGGCATAGTAATTGATATGTTGTCAAAATGTGTCCTGTGTCGTGGCTTCCAACGTCATGGTCTGGCATCTTACCCACACCACCAGGTACCAGTGCTGGCTGTCTCCTTCTCTTTCCTTAACTCCGTGGCTATTTCCTCAGAATTCTTGGAAGGCTGGGCCTAGGGGTGACAGGAAGAAGCCAAGAGTCTTCTTGAGTATTCAAGGGGTGTATGGTTTTGCCCACAGGTGTCAGCGATGGAGGATGGGACTGTCATCAAGGACTCCAGTGTGGTGCTGGAGATCCCTGCTGCCACCACCATTGCTTGTGGCGTCATAGAGCTGTATGTGAAACAGGATGGCCAGTTTGGTGAGTCCTCATGAGGTATATGCCCTGGTAGCAAGAGAGAAGAGGCAGGTAGCAGAGGTCTATGAGAGTGTCATAGGATCTGGGGGGCACAGGGGAGTTGGCTGCATGCACCTCCTGCTCCTCAGGCATCACTGAGGCTGTGGGAGGAACATGGGCTCTGGAGCCAGCCAGATATCCTGTGAAGCTGTTGAGTCTTCCCCAAGTTAAGGCCCAGCAGAGTTACATTTAGGTTGCCACGACAAAGCACCATGCCCGAACAGATCACAGAAGAAAGGGTTTGTCTGGGCTTACAGGTCGAGAGGGATGGAAGGCTATCGCTCTGGGGGAGCAGCGGATACGACAGCAGGAAAAGGATGCTGAAAGCTCGCATCCTTTACTGCAAACATGAAGCAGAGGGAGCTGGAAGTGGTGGGAGCCCCTAAACTCTCACATCCCACTCCCAGCGAGCGACACACTTCCTCCAAGGCCACAGCCCTCAAACCTCCCCAACTAGTTCCACCTACTGAGGACTAAATGCTCAAGTGCCCAGGATTGTTGGGGACATTTCTCATTTAAACCTCCACAGGCCACCTACCCAAAAGGGAATGAGTGTCCCTGGTGGCCCTGGGTGGAGCTAAGCTAGTCGAGGTCTGGGAAGTGCCCAAGATGGTGGTAACTCAGCAACCACCCTGACTTCTCTGTTAACATCGTCCTCACTGGGGCTCCACGCTCCCTCCCAACACGGAGCCCATACTGCAACCTGACCTTGCTCTGGCATCATGTGTCATTGTTATTGGTAGAAGAAAATGAGGGCTGTCCTTTTTTAGAACGTTCTGCTTACTCTAGATCAGTGCTTCTCAACTGCTTCAACCCTTTGGGGGTTGAAGGGCCCTTTCACCACTGGAAAATACAGATATTTACATTACAACTCACAATAGTAGCCAGCTTCCAGTTATGAAGTAGCAGGGAAAATAATGTTACAGTTGGGGCCACCACAACATGAGGAACTGAATTAAAGGGTCATAGAATGAGGAAGGCTGAGAACCACTGTGCTAGATGCTCAAGGCCCCTTCCCTCTTCCCAGCGAGACTGCTACCTGATGGCTTTGTTGGGAGCAAGAATGGGGAAATGTAACATCACAAACTGTATTAACCCTTCTGGGTAGGATAGTGATATTATGGTTTTATCTGTTGGAAGGTTCTTCTGAAATGTCCCAGTTGAATTGTCTGTCTGAGGTTTGCTTCCAAAATGGCACAGGAGAGCGTGTGTGCTGAGGGTAGAGGTAAAGGCATCAGTTGTGACAGTCAGTGCGACAGTCGCTGAGTCTGGCCGATGAGCAGCTATGGTCATTGTAACTGCGCATGCTTGTTTAGTGTGACCTCTGACCTCAAGAACAGACTACGCAGTGCCTGTCTGCCGCTCTCCTGCCTGTCTTTGGTGAAGTGGGTAAGGGGAGTAGAAGGTCTCTGTGAGACCATGCAACACGCTGTCCTGCTCTGCTGCGCAGGTGGGAAGCAGATCACTACTAACATCATCTAACTCATGTACATTCGAGGGTCTGAACAGGCATGGGACTAAACACTGACCCCATCCACCGCGCGCACACTGGCTTGCTCATCCAGCCAAAGAGAAGCCTGTGCTTTGGGGCGTGGAAATGACTGGCCTGAGCTGACAGAGAGAAAGTGGCAGTTTTAAGAACCCAAGACTGTTAGGTAAGGGAAGCTCACTGCATCTAGTTCACAACATTTTAAAAAAAAAAAAGTTGAGTAGTCTTATGTAGCCCATCCCGGCTTTGGACTGGCTAACTCCTTATCCCCCTGCCTCCACCTCTGAATATGGGATCACAGACTTATGCTACCACCCTCAGATGCCCCCCAACACCCATGCACTACTTCTTTCATTTTCTCCTCCTTTTCTTTTCCTCCCTCCCGCTTCTTTCCCTTTCTTTTCTACTTTCTCCTTCCTACCCCCATCCCTGCTCTGCTTGTTTGCACTCAGACACCTGAAGGTGACCTGATTGTTCTCAGTACCAGCATGTGATAAGCCGAGTCGGTGTGCACTTGTTCGGTCCAATCGGATGTGAATGGTTGCTCTGGGGGCTTCGTAGGTAGATTTGACTGATAGATCACTGTGTTACTTTCCCATTTTCCTGAGGCTGTTGGGAAACACTGTAAGTATCTAAGAGTACAATACTATGATAGCATATCCACAATGATTACCCCAACCACACTGATTTACCCAACCAGTACGTCACATAATTTGTGTGTGTGTGTGCTTGCATGCTTGCATTTAGGTTATATTAGTTTTAGTTGGGACCTTTGTAAATGATCACATTTATTTATTTGTGTTTCTGCGTTATGTGAGTGAGTGTGTGTATGCATGCCATGGCCTGCCTGTGGAGGTCAGAGGGCAACCTGAAGGAGTCAGTTTTCTCCTTCCACCATTTGGGTCCTGGGCACACAACTCAGGTTGTCAGGCTTGGTGGCAGTCACCTTTACCCACGGAGCCACCCTGCTGCTACACATTTATCATTTTCGATAAGAACATCTGATAACGTCACAGGCTGTTTTGCAATCTGCACTGCTCTGTTAACCACAGCCAAGTCTGCTTCCTCTACCCAGTGGAGGCTGTGCTCCCTGTCTGCCCAGCGCGTCCCTTTCTCAGTCTCAGGGAAGCACTGCTCAGCTTTTCTTCTGGAAGAGCAGCATCCTTTAGACTTGGTGTGAGTGAGGGAACATGCTGTTTACCTTTCTGTGTCTGACTCAGGTTCCCCCTACAGTATTTCCCGGGTTTGTCCATGTTGTCCTACGTGATAGAATTTTGTTGGTTCAATGGCTAAGTCATACTCCTTTCTGTAAATGTGCCATGTTCTGTCCGTCTGTTGCTGAGTACATAGGTTAGTTTGAAGTCAGATAACAATGCGGCATCACTGTTGATACTGTGAACGTCTTGGTTTATTTTGTTGTTGCTGATTTTGCTTTTAGATTATTTTATGTGTATGAGTCTTTGACCTACATGAATGTATATTCACCATATGTATGCCTGGAGGAGGTCCCAGAATCCCTGGAACTAGAGTTAGGGACCCTCGTGTGGGTACTGGGAATCAAACCCTGGTTCTCTGGAAGTACAGCCAGTGCTCCTGACTGCCGGGCTGCAGCCCTTTTATTTCTCATTCCCCGGGCTCCCATTTAACCCTAGCATTCATTTTAACCCACACATTTTTTCCCATGGCAACAGCATTACTAATGCTTGTTACAATTCTGGATATTTGATGCCAGCCCTTCTGTCATAGCTGGAACTTTGGGTCATGTAGGCAGCGTGTTTCTGTTTCCTCTACTTCATAGGCCCTGACGATCACTATTTTTCTCTGCTTCGTGAGTTTCACTGTTCTAGAGTCTACATATGAATGCAATCTCACAGCGTTTGTCTTCTTGTGTCTGGGGATTAACGCTCTTCAGATCTCTGCATGGGTCTCCTTTTCGTGGATGAGTACTATTCCATTGTGTACACGTAACTGCAATTGTTTTTATCAACTCAGTTCTAGTACATTTTAATTTTTTATTTAGCTTCTGTGAATGTGTCATTTCTCTAAGGTCCTTGAACACGTGGCTCATGTGAGGAGATGGCTATGAACTCTGGGAGGATCCTTGGTGGCTAGAGACCAGGCAAGAAGTTTTTTCCTGTCAAGCTGCCTATAGCTCATTTGGGGTGGCCTGTTTTTCCCAGGGGCTTCTCTTTTCATGCTTTCTGATTTCTGCTGCCCCCCTTAATCTCCATCACTGTCTTTGGCTCATTTCTCATGCCCTGGTCTTGGAGGCAGCACCACACCTTTGCATGTTGTGACTGGGTCCACAACGACTTAATAACTGCTTTTCCCCTTTGCTACCCATCTGTAGTAATAAGGGGAGCGGCAGAGCTGCGTTCCCAGCACCCCGGCCGCCTGCTCCGCTAGCTTATGCCCCAAAATAATTACACGGACACTGTATTCTTTTAAACACTGCTTGGCCCTTTAGCTCTAGCCCTTACAGGCTAATTCTCACATCCCGATCAACCCATCTCTAATAATCTGTGAGCACCGGTCTTACCGGGAAAGATTCAGCATGTCTAACCTGGCGGCTTGCTTCATCGTGTGCGTCTGCCCGGGAGCGTGGCATGGCGTCTCTCTGAGGCATCTGCTCCCGAGAGGAGAGCTGTGGAGTCTGAGCTCACTTCCTCTTCCTCCCAGTGTTCTGTTCTGTTTACTCCTCCCACCTATCTTCTAACCAATGAGGGCCAAGCAGTTTCTTTTTATTTAACCAATGACCTTCCTCCATCACCCATCTGCATTTCCTATCACTCCACACGGAATGTTCTGATGTAGTCTCATCAACAGACCTGTGGGAACTGGAAGGAGATGCCTGCCCACACTTTCTGCCTCTGGCAGGGTTACTGTGGATGGCTTTCCTAGCTGTCCTATAGGAGCTGGAAGGAGATGCCTGTCCATGCTTCTTGCCTGTGGGAGCTGAAAGGAGATGCCCATTCAAGCTTCCTGCCTATGGCAACGTTACCCTGGATAACCACCCTAGTCATCTTGTAAGTCACTGTGAACCCACCTCCACCCTTGTGTTCTCAGCTGCCATGAAACCCCCCCCCCCCCTACACACCTCTCACAGGTCTAATCAGAGGCACCATCCATCACTGTGGAGCTGGGTTTGCTCTTGGGCAGCGACCATGTGCTCATTCCGCAGTGTGAATCCTCCAGCTATCTGATGCCCCCAGCAGTGACACTGTCCTCACCCTGCCTTCCAGTCCCACGCTTCTGTCAGGGGCTGTGGGGACTGAAGCAACTCCCTTCTTACCCAGCATGTCCGATGTCTTCTTCTGTCTTGCAGTGTAGTTAGTAGTGAGGATTTGAAACCATAATCAGAGCGTTCCATTCACCTGTTCAAACACTGTCTGCGGTGCCTCTGTTCCCAGCATGAACTTTGCCACACAAGTATCCCCAGCTTGATCTCTTATCACCTACACCACTGTCGTCTGGTCTCCCCAAAGTTAATCCTTGTCTGGAAACACCCTGCCACTCTCAAACCCTGTGCTCCAATGCTCTTCTTGTCTAGAGTATCTAGATCCTGGCCCAGAGAACTTCTGCTGGAAGGTGGCTGCTTGGGTTCTGCGATAGCCAGGAGCCCTTCTCTGGTTCTCCTTCGCCGTGATGTCACTAGGATGTGAAACCCAAAGGAGTTTACAGTGAAGGGATGTGAATGTGGTGGAGAACAGAAGCTCAGGTTTTCAGACCCTTCTCTGAAGTGGTGGCACACCCTCCAGGAGACGCAAGGTTCCTCCTCATCTCAGAGGACAAGGACACAGAAGGATCCTTTGGGTACTCCTAAGCTTGCTGTAGTGCAGACGCGGGGCTATTTTGTCTGCCACGCAATGCTTCATCAGACCTAGTGTGAAAATCCTCAGGAGGGCAGACATGGTAGCATACATCTGTAATCCCAGCACTTGGGAGGCTGAGGCAGGAGGATCTGGGGTTAGAGGTCAGGTGGGGCTATATAGCAAACCTCTTTACTAGTTCTTTTTCTGTTGTTGTGACAAACACAGTGGCCAAAGACAACTTGAGGGAGAGTGTCCTTTGGCTTCTAGTCCCAGGTAAAGAAGAGTCTGTCATGGAGGGACAGAGGCTGGGATCACACTGGATGATCATAGCTCAAGGTTGTACCTCTCAAACGATGCCACCAACTGGGAACCAAATGCACAAATGATGAGCCTACGGGAGATACTTCTCATTCAACCCAGACTGTCTCAAAAAGCAGATGCAAAGAAACAAACGCCTTTCTTTAGTCTTTTAGCACAGCCTGAGCTATGGAAAGGTGACAAGATGTGGGTGAGCTGTGCTGACCCATGTCTGGTGTGGGCTTTTCTCCCCACTACAGAATTCTGTCTCCTCCAAGGGAAGCATGGTGGCTTTGAACATGAGAAGAAAGTTGACTCTGTCTACTTGGACCCCTTGGCCTACAGAGAATTTGCATTCCTGGACATGCCGGATGGGGGTCAAGGGACCTCTCCCCAGGATGGGCCACTACACGTTTTAAAACAAGGTATGGCTTGCAGCATAGTTATGGACAGATAGAGAAATGGACCCTCTTTCCCTAGAGGTGATATTATCTTCGAGGTCTCCTTGGATCTTAAGGAGGGCCAGTTCTTGGTTACTATTTTGAAAAATGGAAAGAGACCCTAGGGGGGTCAGTGTGGGAGGCCAAGGAGTGTGCTGTCCAGGTGCCTGGCAGTTTTCTTCCCCTGGACCACAGAACCTGACTACTGAGAATGGCAGCAATGAGCAGAGCTGGAGACCCCAGGGTCTCTGTCACTTCTGCCACATCCTGGGCTTCAGTGCATGGCAGCTGCTCTTTGTCAGCATGGTGAATGCCACGGAAGTGCCTCACCCACATGACAGAGGGGCCATACCCCTGAACTGGCCATAGCAATTCTCTTTGCTCCACACAGCTTGTTGCTTCAGAACTGGTTTGCTTTGCTGAGTGCAGGAGAGCAGTGTGCAGTAGGGGGAACTGGGTGAGGAAAAGGAGAAACGAGATGAGGTCAGAGCTCAGAAGCCAGGGCTGGCTCAGAATATGTTCTACCTTGCATAGCAAGAAACGAGCTTCCTCCCTGGGGCATCCCTAACCAGAGGATGCTGTTCCTGTCACAAAATGTCAGTGTTGGAGGACAGGGTGATGGAGACCTGGGTTTAAGGTAGATCTTTCCTGGGACAAGAGTTGACTAAACATGAGGTGTCTACTTATAAGATGTAGTTGTGACTGAGCTGGAGTTTGCCCTGCAGAAGTGGGTGAGGCAGGAACTCCCTTCCTCCGCTCCAAGCTGAGCTGCCCATCCTATTGGCTGGGTACCCTAGGAACCTGGGATGGTGGCAGGTGTAGCTGGACCTCTGGCCTGGTATTTGAGCCCTCAGATTCTAGGTTAACCAGGACAGCCCTTCTTTTTAGGCAGAGTCTGGAGAAGACTGAATTGTGTTCCAGGGGAGGGTTTGAAGATGTGGCTCAGGAGTTCTTTGTCAATTGCTTCCTAGACGTCCACCAGCAAGGCCATGCATTTCTGTATCAGCTTGCGGCCCACTAGGAACGTTTGACTGTCCTCAGGAAAGAGGACTATAGGGCACAGGCTCCCAGGCCTCCTGTGGAGGGTGTAAGCGGCATAGCAGAGTGCACTCTGTGCTCATCTTGAGCAGGAGTGGAAGGCACGGGGAGGGAAGTGGAAGCCATGTTTGCTGTGCATGTTGAGTGCTGACCCTTTCACCATGCACTGAAAAGGAAGCATGCCAAGCAGCAGTGCATCACTAGACAGTGCCAGGAAGGACGTGTTTAAGGACCAGTGTGGCTCATGCTTATTGATTCAGTCTTGAGGACGTATTCCTATAGCTACCATGCCAAAGAAGAGCATAAGTGGCTTCCAGGAACTACCTGGTCAAGCTTAGCACTGCATGGGCAGAGACAGGTGAGGCCTGGGGTATCTCAGTGGGCTTCCCTGTCTCCGTTTCCTTTCTTGTAGCTTCCCGGATTCTTGAGAGCCACCCAGGGTACTGTGTATCTCCGAGCCCCACAGCTGATTCTGAACCTGGAGTCCTTTGGAAGGACTGGGAGGCAGGTTGGGAGCTAGGCCTGACCCTGCATCTGCTCTGCTTCCACAGTGGCTGCACACCTGGAGAGAAGCTTCCATCCCTTTGCAGAGTTACCTGCCCAGCAGCAGATGGCGCTGTTCTGCCTCCTGCAGACAGTCTTGTTTGACGAGGAACTCCTCAAGGCTCTGGAGCAAGTGGTGAGGCAGCAGGGGGTAGGGGAGGGAGAGAGGGAAGAAGGGGTGGGGGTGAGAGGCGGGGAAGGGTGTTGAGTTTGGGTCTGTACCTGGTTGCTCTTAGAATGTGCACAGGCTAGACTCCTTAGGATGGCTTTGGGATAATTTGAAATTAAGTTTCACCATATAAACTTGTAGCTGACATCAGGCAGAGAGGAATAAGTGACTTTCTTAGAGCTATAACACATGACCACAGGCTTGGGGCTTTAAAATATCAGAAATTACTCTCTTCCAGACCTGGAGGGCAGAATCCAGAATTGACAGTGGCAGCAGGCCCATACCTCTCTGAAAGATCCCGGGAAGAATCCTTGTTCCCTGCAGTTTCTGGGGGCTCCTGCCATTCTTCGGCGTATAGCTGCTCCACTCTTACTCTGTCCTGTCCTCCCTTGTTTGTTGGGGTCTCCTCTAGACACAACACTCATTAAGGATCCCCATTACTAGGTACAGGGTGCTCTTGCTTTCAGACTCTCACCTTATTGATGCCTGCAAAGACTCATTCCAAACAGGTCCCATTCTGAGACTGCAGGGGGACACTCATTCAGCTCGCAGGGAAGAGGCTATGTGATAGAGCTGTCAGCCGGCAGTCCCATTTAGAACAGATAAGTAGGTATTTATTGCTGTTTTGCAACAGCCAGATTTTGAGGGAGATGCCAGCTGCTTACCCTCTATGAGCTCAGATTTTTTTGTTCTTAATGAGGCTGAAGCTTTGAAAATTTTCTTTTCATTGTGATGTTTTTCGTCCTTCTTTTCCTATACTGCTCGAATGATTTAGGTGTCCAGAGAGCCACTCATATATTATCTTCCCTCTTGATCTGAGACTGTGTTGGAGAGCTTGGTAACCAGGGGGCAGAATTGCAGTTGTCCAAACAGTCCAGTTTGCCTTCAGGAAGGACACAAATGTTCCAGTCCCATGACTTTTACTCCATAAAATAGCTCCTTCCTAGGGGAAAATGTCAGGCTGGTCCCTTGTGGAGAGAGTCGCATCTGCCCTGTCCGATGCTGGCAGAGCATCAGCTTGATGGTGGGTGTCAGAAGGGACATGACATACTTATGGAGTACAGCTAGCTCAGGGGTCAGAACAGGCCCATGGGCAGTGCCATCCCACTCCAGAGCAGCCCTGTGAGGAGGGACAAAGTTGCCAAGGCAGGCTGGGGGCACACTAGGTTTAGAGGTCTGTTTCTAGTGTGAGATCCAGGAAGGAATGTTGCTTTTATGTTCCATTCATCAGTTTAGTATGTAGCCGCTTGTCCCTGGTGTCTGGTAAAACTCCATAGCCTGTCTTGGTCTGAAAGGTTCTTTCTGCCCAACATTTCCTGCATGACTCTTTTCCTTTCCTTGGGGAAGGATAGCACTTGGGCAAGGCTCACCTTAGTGTGTCCTTAGGAGGAAATTTAAGCCCATGGATAGCATCAAAGTACAGGAAAGGGCCCAGTGCTTGCTTTACCTGGAGGTGGGGAAGTGCACGGGGTATTGGGAACGTGGGGTAGGGCCGAGGCTCAGTTGAGCTGCATTTCAATGGGTTCTAGCTTCACCATAGTCTTTCTTCCCCTTCTGCGTTGTAGTGTGATGATATGGCTGGTGGCCTCTGGTCCGCACAGGCTGTCTTGCTGATGGAGGAGCTGACAGACAGGCAGAAGCAGGACCTCACAACCTTCCTGCAGCTGGTGGGGTGCAGGGTACAGGGTGAGCGTCCTGGCCCGCAGGATGAGGTCAGCAACCAGAAGCTCTTTGCAACAGCCTACTTCCTGGTCAGTGCACTAGCAGGTATGGAAACCGAGACAAAAAAGAACAGGGTAATGTCTGCCATGATTGGGAAATGGTGTTGCTTTCTGTATGTGCCAGGGACACAGAAGCGATGATGACCAAGGATGCTTTGGTACAGTTGTCTCCTTCCAGTCCTGAAGATAAGAGGTGGAAAGCCAGGGAGAACCCTGCCACACTCCGAGGGATGACTGTCTTACTCAGGGAGGACTACCTTCTGGTTTCCTCACTGGAAGTCCTTTTCAGAATGCAGCCTGTGATCCACAGCAGGGTCACCTTCCTTTGGAGGTGTTTGTCCTTTCCTTCCTCCTTGCACACTTGTGTCCCCCTTCAAGGTACTCTCAGGGTTCAGTGTAGTGGTGTGTTATGCACAGGTGAGGAGGCAGGCTGTGGCTGTGTTTCTGCATAGGTCTTAAAATGGTTTCCCAGGGGGAGTGGATTTTAGTTACTGTCAAGCAGAGCCCACCATACAGGAAGGTCTGGTGGTACCCTCTGTGAAGCAGCTGTAGCTATATCTCATCCTTGGAGGCCCAACTTCCCTCCAATGCATGCTAATAGGCACTGGGGTCCTGATACAGGGGCTTTCTCCCCTGTACTACAAAGGGAAAGGCCCAGGGAACCTTCAGTGTTTAAAAATGAATCAGAAAGAATGTTCCAGCTTGATGTGCTGATGGATAAACCCTGTGCCTTGTTCTTAATCAGAGAAAGTCTTTGAGTGGCTGACTGAGACCAGATATAAGACATAGGCTCTGTGAAACTCCACCTAGAGCTAGACCCATGTTAACAGTGAACATGCTTGAGTATAGACTTTCTGTCAGTTTGTGAGAAGGCTTCTTATATATCCTACACTACTTAAGCGTTTCTATGTAGAATAGCCCATGGCTGACAGACTATACCAGTCACATTCTCCCTGGCCTTGATATAGTTCTGTTGCTGACCATACAAGGGGTTTTAACACAAAACTTATTTCCATTTGGAAGCTGGATGCAGGGGAAGTTTTATGTGTAGCCAGCATTTACATCAACCCTGCTCTTTCCACTGATGTTATAACAGCAGCCACAAAGGTTGGCTGATTTAAAGATCTTTTGATAGTATTCTAGTTAACCCTGGACCCTTCTTGGCCAACTCTTCCAGACAGCATGGCGTCCTAAGATCTGGGGATAGTGCTGGAATAGAAAGTAGTTCTCTTGGGCCCTGACAGTGTTTATTTGGCTTTATCCTGCTTAGCCGCTTCCAGCACTGCCTGTCTCCCAGAAAGCTTCCTCTGCCCCTTTGACCATGAGCAAATCTTGGCAAATCCAAGATCTCAGTACCACAGAACCTCATTTGTAACTGAATCGCTTTTCCCCTGACTTCCTGGGCAGCCTTATACTGGGCAGCCAGGTAGTTAAGGGAGGACAGAGCATGCCTGGCCTAGGACATGCACCAGGGTCATGCACCAGGGTCATGCATCACCCTTTGTGATGTGCTCACAGCTCTGTTAAGCACCTCTAGGGATGAGGGATGCAGTAGTGATTTCATGAGGCAAGAGGCATTCTGGAAGGTGAAGGGGTTGAAATGTGTCAGTGCTTGGTTGACACTACATACCCTTCTCAGCCCTGTGCCTTCTATCCTCTTCTTGAAGTGGAGTGAGGGCCTCCTTGGGGACATATGAAAACTGAGCTTCCTCAGAGGCAGGGGCATGATCACACTGGAAGGTTGTGTTAGGTTTCTCTGGTGGGATCACCTAACAGGGCTGCCCCTTCTTTCAGCAGCCTTGTCCTTTTGTCCTCTCTGGGTCACAGCCTATGACATGTCATCTGTAATACAGCTAACAGATGTAGGTGGTCATGAAGTTCATGAGTGGTCACTATACCAGGTGACTTAGCAGCTCCAAGGTAATGCGCTGAGGATTAGGTTCATCTCAGCAGCTCTTATTTTATATGGGAAGTATTGTATAGATGCATGAATGGCACTGACTTGAATTCTCTTTGGCAGGGTCGTCTGGTGTAGCTCTAGCCTCTCACAATTCTGTCCCAACTTTGTTGTGCCACTGATTAGCCCTGTTGGAGCTTTCTTTCCCAAAGGGACTGGTGGCATGATGGAGCCCTTCATGTTTATGTGGTGTATATGACATGTATTCCTAAATACCTTCTAGTGTGTAAAATTGACAGGTTCCTAGAGAATACCCCACGCTATGGTCTTGAATGTTTATATGTTACATATTCTCATGCCTGTAAATCCCAGTACTTGGAAGAGGTAGGATTATTGCAAATTCAAGGCTATTCTGGATTACATAGCAAGAATATGTCTTAGAAAAGCAGAAACAAAACAAAGCTTCCTGATAGACGCTCCAGCCTAGTTAGCTGGAATGGTTCTAACCATTCAAGCACTGCTTTTTTTGAGCCAATTATCCTTTCCCAGAGTCCATGCCCTTCTTTGCTAACTGCAAATTCGATGTCAAAGAACATCTTCTAGTGACTAGATTCCCAGGGAGATCCCTCAGATCACCAGCACTGCCTTCAAATATGACCACACTCTTGTTCCTGACAGTCTGTGTAGCTCTGGCTGACTCAGAACCCAGAGATTCTGCCTCCCAAGTGCTAGGATTAAGAGTATTCCACCACTCCTAGGCCAGTCACACTTACTTTAACTGGTGGTAGCAAGGTAATGAAGTATAAGTTGGACACCACCTAGGGATGGCCGAACTGTTCTTTCTTTTTAATATAAGGGCTCACTGTGTCTCAGGCTTGTGATTCTTCTGCCTAACCTCTCAAATGATATTACAACATGCGTCACCATGCTTGGCTTCCACAAACTTGTTTTTGACAGTGACCATGACCATGATGCATGTCTTCTACAGAAATGCCAGATAATGCCACAGTTCTCCTGGGGACTTGCTGTAAACTTCACATTATTCGTACGCTGTGCCACCTGGTAAGGAACCTTCAGCTGGGACAGTGGGGTGGAAAAGACTAGGGATGATGAGGGATAGATGCTATGCAGCTGGTATAACACCTCTAGTTTCTCAGCTTGAGTGTGTAAGCACATATCATTAACATATGGGTGGGGGGATGTCTGAGGTACAGAGCAAAGTGTTCAAAGAACTGGCTAGCAAAGCAGCCTTGTGTGCCAACTCCAAATGCTATTCTTTCCTCAGTTTGAGACTTTTGGTACCGAGAGGCCCAACACCCTGCTGTTGGCCACTGCATTGTGTGGCATGGTTTGAAGCTGCTTTGTGTCACATTTCCCAGAAAGCACTCAGGGCTGTTCTCTGAAGGAGACATAGCTTCTCCCATCCTCTTACAGTAGCAGTACCACTGCAAGAGCAGATCAGTAATGAGTCTAACCGCAGAGTGGAGCAAGTTCTCAAGTTCCAGAGAGGGCAGTTAGCAGAGACCAGCAACAGGCTGCCCCAGATTGTCCAGAGGCAGCTTCTCTCACACAGCCTGTGCTGGTAGAGGACCCTGGATCACTTGTTTTAAAGTCTGGTATAGTGCCAAGCCCCCATGTTACCTCACAGCAAAGCTGGCAATGCAGACTGCCCAGATAGGCCTTCTTACGTTCTGCATGTCCTCTGGGAATACCAAAGCATATAGGTGGTCTTAGATGTTGTTCTGTATGTAGGATGTGTCAGAAGCCAGGATCACTAGGTATCTTATCACATAGCTGGGCTGGTGCCATCAGAACTGACCACAGAGTCCGTGCCCCAGGGGATACTCAACTACTTGGAAACATGCCACAATATCTCAGACCAGCTGAGGGTGATGGCTGCTTGTGTAGTTTGATTATAGAAATGATATAATTGTACTAATTGTATGAGATGATGAGCAAAACAGCTCTGTTCCCTCTTGCAGCAGTGAGTGTTCAGCATTTCCAAAGTCTGTTTCTTGAGTATTTAGGGACTAATTGAAGCCATTCAGGAAGTACACAGAGAAGAAACTCGTGCTATGGGAGCCAGGCCCTAATGAACTCACTTAGCACTCTTTGCAGTGAGCTCTGGCTCTGATTTTGGCTGATGTTCCAGGACCAGCCAGGAACCAGTTCCAAAAATGGATGGACTCCTGCTGCCTGCAGATGCACTTGCCTGCATTTGGAGCTGCTCAGCAGACAAAACAGGTTTCTTAAAAGGAAGATCGCCCTAGGTGTCCTCAAGTAATCTCTGTAGATTTCCCACTTCAAGACTGGAGTATTGTGTACGTCTTAAAGTGACTTACCTAGAAAAGTCACACAATCTACTCACACTCCGGCTTGAAGGTCCAAGTGATGCTGAGTCTTCTTTAAAGTTTTGGACAAATTGTAAGATACACTATTCACATGCTGTGGACTGGTAAGAGGGTAGATTTTAATCAGTCGAGAAATCTAGAAAATAAATATTCCCAAAGGATGCAGAGTAGCCAGGGCAAAGGTTCTTGAAGCAGAAAACAATTAATAAATGACAGTACCTATACCTGAGTTCACCCAAATACCCAAGAAATTCTAATATTGCCATTTACATTAATAAACAAAACAACCAATGACCACTTGGTGGCAATGGTGAGTGTGTACCTACCCCAGAGCAAAGAAAAAACTGTCAGCAAAAAAGTGACTGGAACATTAAACGATGTAGGGAGTACCTGTTGGACATACCCTGCCCTTCACTAAACCTGATGCTGTCTGGAGAAAGAATAGAAAATGGCTGTAGGCCTTATCATTCTGCAACTGCCCAAGCCAGAGGACATACAGCTTAATGTTCACTCTGAGAAACCGGCTTGTTTAAACAGGGCTCCAAAGAAGGTGATCACCTTAGTTGGGCCTCCCATAATCAGCAAGACTCTTACCTTGTTATGGACCCTTTGTCCTGTGCCCACACTAGGTGGAAGGCAGTGTTGACAGCATTTTGCTACTTCAGGCTCTGAGGTACCATAGTCATATGCATGGGGGCCATCTCCTCCTCACCCTACAACCTTGAGGCTGTGGGGCTGTAGATGCCTGTGAAGGCCTACCCTCACTTGCACCTGTCTATCACGAGTTGGCCAAGTTTCCAGGTAGGTCCTACAGCTCCAGGAATCCAGCAACCAGGGCCCCAGCTGTCAGTGATACTTGCACCCAACGACAGTGAGAACTTTTTGTGCTTACAGCTTTGGAAATGTAGCTGCTGGTGCAAAAAGCCTCAGCACTACTCTGGCTTGTAGCTGGAATCACATCTGTGGTCTTCAGCTTCATGGCAAACTATGCCACAAGTTGGCCACTCCACTGTTTACTCTTTGCATGATCTCGATGTTTCCACCCTTGCCTTGCGGCCACAGACACCAAACAACAGGCTTGCATACCACTCATATTAAGCCGTGGCACACAGGGGAATTATCCCCAAAGTCCTGCACCTCTGAGCATGGAAAACAGAACTATTGGGAAGACCCAAGGAACTTAACTTCCATAGTCCATTGACTTTGGATTAGAGTTGCTGGTACTGAGTAAAACTTGTGCTTATCACCTTGGTCCTGGATGAGCTATAGTCTCGATCCCACACATCAACAAAAGTGGCCATAAAGCCCCAGAGACTTTAACCACCCCCAAAGGACTAGGGAAGAACTCCTTTATGTTTCAAAACCTTAAATCCCATGGTTACTGGAGATATTTACCTGGTAAGACCTGGAGAAAGGGGCTGGTTCCATCCTGTGGCTCTAGAATTGTGGGTGTTGGTGCTACAGACTCAAGCATCTTCTACAACTCATGATGTGTTCTATGTTCACCTGGACAGACCTAGGGATAGCTCTTTCTGAATCTCATACCAATGAGTCCATAATGGCTGAATGCACTCTTGGAAGCCTGTGTTTATGGCAAAGCCCTACTGTGGTCATCATTGTTGCTGTACCCCTCAGCCCTAATGACAGGAACCAAATGAGGCACCGCACAGCAGCTACACGGTTGAGTTCATTTGTAACTGAAGCCCGGGCACCTATCCAGCTGACAAAATGAACAAAAATTCCTGCAGAAAGTGCCTCAAAATATTGGATGTTCCACAAATGTACAGGATACAGAGAACAAGCCAGCCACAAAGAGAATAGCTGTTCTCCTCTAAAAATAATCTCTGAGAAGGAAGTCTGAAGAGTTTACAGTAATGATCCCAAGGAAACATTAATGAGCTCCAAGAGAATATAAACAAAGTAACACAAAGAAGCAAAAAGCAATTTGGGATATAAATGAGAAATTAAGAGTTTGAAATCTTAGTTAAAATATAACAAAGACTATTAATTCTGGAGCCAATATATCCAATCAGTGCAATAAAACACACAAAGCTCTGAAAATAGGAAGTAGCACAAGGAAACCCTGCAGAACCTAAGGATAATCCTTCCAATTACTTCAGTAAGACAAGGGGACTGGTGTGTGTAATTGAGAAAAGCTACAAGGTATCTAGGACAGAAATAGGTGAAAATATTTGCACTGTGGGGATTCCAGATGGGGAAGAAAAAAGGCATTTAAAAACTAGTTTCAGCTGGGCGGTAGTGGTACATGACTTTAATCCCAGCACTTGGGAGGCAGAGACAGGCATATCTCTATGAGTTCGAGTGGAGGTCAACCTGGTCTACAGGAGCTGGTTCCAGGACTGGCTCCAAAGCCACAGAGAAACCCTGTCTCAAAGAAAACCAAACCACAAGAAATCCATTCACTGATGTATGCGTATGGTGGTTTGAATAGATATGCTCCCCATAAGACTGACTCAATGTGTTTGAATACTTAGCCCATAGGAAATGGCACTATTAGGGTGTGGCCTTCTTGGAGGAAGTGTGTCACTGTGGGGGTGGGCTTTGAGGTCTTATATGCTCAAGCTATGCCTAGTGTGGTACACAGTGGATTCTGCTTCCTTTGAATCAAAATGTAGAACTCTCAGTTCTTTCTCTATCACCATGTTTGCCTGCACACCACCCTTCTTCAGCACCATGTCTGCCTGCATACTGCCATGTTCCACCATGATGATAATGGACTAAACCTCTGAAACTGTAAGCCAGCCCCAATGAAATGTTTTTCTCTTAAAAGCTTCCATGGTCTCTTCACAACAGAAATCCTAGCTAAGACAGTATATTAAAAGGAACTGGGAAAAAAAAGCAACTAAATAGAAATCAAAAGTAAGCAGAAGTTACACCTATAATCTCACAGGGTAAAGTGGACTTTAAACAATCAGAGAGAGAATGCAATCACTATGTATTCATAAATAGATCAGTTCAGCAACCAGATACAGAAGGGCAAATACATATGGGTCCAACATTACCAGTCCAACAGCCAGAACAACTGTAGATGTGCAAGAAGGGAGACGAATACAGGTATAGTCAGGGACTTCCTTTCCTTTTCCACTTTGGGCACATTTAGACACAAAATGAAACAAACACTTCAGTCTAAACACATGAGTGTTACCAAGTTACAGGGCGTCTTAACCAGCAGCAGTAACAGCAAACTCAATCTTACTAGAAATATGTACTACTCAGGACTAGAACATGTTAGGTCACAAATAAGTCTCAATGCATTTTTTTTTTTAATTTGAAGAGTGTAAGAGTTGGTTTATTGTAAAAGAAATCAAGAATAACCAGTTGTCCACATTCTACCTATGACAGCTAAAACACATTAAACCCTATTATATCAGGAATAAGAAAGGGCACAAGACAGACTACATAGAGGCTGTGAATCAAACTCAGTGAAAGGGTGCTCAGGGTTCTTGTAGTGGTACAAACGATTTGATGACACCAAGGTACTGTCAGGCTCCATGGGGCTGCCAGACATTGGGGTGTAACTAGCCAAATGATTTTGAGAGACAAATACAATGTTCTTCGTTTGTTTTCGGAGACAAGGTTACTCTATATAACAGTTTTGGTTGTCCTAAACAGTTTGGAACTAGCTCTGTATATCAGGCTGGCCTCAAACTCAGAGATTCGCCTGCTTCTGTCTCCCAAGTGCTGGGGTTAAAGGTGTGCACCACCACTGTCTGGTATATACAATGTTGTGGGTGAACTTTTAGGAACTATCTTGAAGAGGAAGAAGTCTGTAGGTTTCTATCAAGGTCCCACCCTCCTCTAAGCTAAAGCCAGTCTGCTGATACATAGCATGTAATCTTTTGCCCTTGGCGTTTTACCCTTCAACAGCCTTACTATCTGCATGTTAGCCACATACTGCATTACCCATCTGCTCAGTTTTGAATTCAGTAGAACTTTAGTGTTCTAAAGCCTGTGTCAATGTTCACCCCCTTTTCCCAAGACATAATCCAGCATGAATCTTTCTGCTAGTTTTTTTTAAAGTATTATTTACATGATGAGTGTGTTGTCTGTATGATCCCCTCAAGGGTCAGGGAAGGGAGTCAGATCCTTTGGATCAGAAGCCACCACCATGTGGGCACTGGGAACCAATAGTCCTTTAACTGCTCAGCTACGTCTCTGGCTCCCATGGGCTAGTTTCTGAATAAAGGCCTTAGTAGTGGTTCTCAGCTTTCCTAATGCTTACAACCCTTTAATACATGTTGTAGTGACCTCAGTCATAAAATTATTTCATTGTTTCTTCATAACTAATTTTACTACTACTATGAATTTGATATGCATCCATAAGTTGAGAACCGCTGCCTTAGAGTCAATGGCAATGAATGAATCATTAGATACAATATATTGGTAACTAAATCTTTTTGTACACTGAAGTTCTGCACTCATTAAATCAAAGGACCAAAATACTTAGATTTTTTTTAACTGAAAAAAGAAATTGGTGTATCTAATCTGAGTCTTTTTTTTTTTCATAGCAGTTTAGCCTGGAAGAGATTTTTTTTTTGTCTTTATAAAACCCTTGAAACTGATAGAGGTGTTAGTTGGTGACACTATAATTCCAGCTACCACTTTATAGCTTCTGTTTAAGGATTCATTCATGCATATTCCTTAAAAAAATACTCTTTGGAAACCATCACTATTCCCAAAGACACGTTTTAGGAATCTCTCTTCTTGCATAAATAAATAAATAAATAAATAAATAGGCAAAATCATGTTCATCTCCTCTTTGCTAAACCCAACTATCCACATAATTCTAACCTTGTCACTTTACCAGTTAACGCATGACCTCACTGTATTTCAACCCCGAAGTCCATTTTTAGTATAGGAACTATGAATATTAGCTATCTTTGGTGACCACAAGGGAATAAAATAAAAAAATAACAAGAACAGAAATTATAAAAATGCATGTTCCTAGTGACTAATAGATAACTGGAGAAATTCTAGAAACAAATGCAAGGAACACAACAAAATCCATGATCCACAGCAAACATAGCAGTGAAAGGCAAGTTTCGAACAAGGCATGTATCAGACAACAGAAAGATCTTAAGATTGTAAGCAACTGACTGCTGTGTAGTAATATGGGCAGACAAGGCAGGAGGATCATTGTGCTTTCCAGGCCAGCCTTATCTGTACAGTGAGTTACAAGACAGCCAGGGATACATACTGAGACCCTTTATCAACAACAACAACAACAACAACACACACACACACACCAAAAAAAAAAAACCCCACAGAAATCAAGAAAACAATCTGGTGTTTTGGAAGGAAAGCAAAATTGTCACAACAAATTAGGTGTGTGCGCTGGTAGCAGTTGGGCACACTCTGAGATGGACGGAGACATTACACACAACAGAAGCAGAGGATCACAAGGAATGACTGCAGCAACTGCAGTGCTGCAGAACCGGAAACCTATGCAGATATGTGTATCACAGCTAGCTGAGTCAAGCAAGTGTCAACTCTAAACAGGCCAGCAATGAGAGGGAAACAGTAACTGAAATTTCCTAAAGATAGGCTAGGAATTGAAGAGCTAATTCCAATGCTGCTTCCGTTATTTGAAGGTGAACTCGGAGGAACTCTACCAAATGCATTATCCGGATACCCAGAGGAGACGAGACAACCACAGACTCATGTACAAATATTCTCAATAAAGTAGTACCAACTGAACTCAATAGCATCGCAAAATATAACATACCATGATAAAAGTATTTACAATCTTCTGACAAGGGACTTCTCTGGATAATATAGAAACTCAAAAGGCCATATACCATAAAAACAATCCAATTAAAAAGTGAGCTAAAAACCTAAATGGATACTTCTCAAAAGATATACAAACTGCAAGTACATGAAAAAAACAACAACAACCCACTACTGTCTCTCTGATCACTATGGAAACACAAATCAAAATTGCAATGTAGTAGCATATCATCCTCATTAAAATAACTATCATCAAAAAGATGTAAGAAATGTTAGAGAGGATGTAGAAAAAGGAAAACTCTTATATACTATTGGAAAGGATGTACTTAGTACAGCCATTATAGAAAACACAATGGAGGGCCCGAGTGCTGAAACTTCTGAGTGCTACCATGTCTATCTGAAGATGAAATATCAATAGATGTGTACTCCCATGTTTGCTGAGCCTGTTCACATAGCTAAAATGTGAAAACAACCCAGATGCTCCCCAACAGATGAAGGCCAAAGAACACACAGATAAATGCACAGAATAGTATTCCCTTATAATAAATGAAAACATGTTATTTATTGGTAGCAACATGGCAGAAACTGGAGATCATTGGTAAATGAAACAGGCCAGACACAGGACATACACTCTCATGCATCTGTGGAAATACTAAGTCAAACTCTTGGAAGAACAGATTAGAATCATGACCACTAGACTCAGATAAGAAGTGGGGAGGATGGCTGAAATTCTAAGGAGTTTCAAACCATGGACAGGTGGGATACTTCTGGATCTTCTTTAACAGGGTAGGTTAGAGATAAACCACCATATTTCACAATAATTACAAGTGTATGAAAAATTCAACACAAAATGGTGTATGGAGACAAAAGTTCTTATTGTCTGATTTTTATTACTGATTCTATATATGTACTGAATTACCCTAATATACCCCATAAAATGTACATATTTATCAGTAAAGCCAAGATGAATCCTTATATGTGACATACAAAAGGTTCATGCTGATTTTTCTAACCTACTGGGCTAATCAGTTTAGAAGGTGTAACAGAATGGGGAGTCACACAGGAATACAGACAAGGAAGAGAACAACGGGCTTGTACATGTATCTTATTATGGTCACTGGTTTTCCTATCCTATTTGAAAGTTTTTAAGAAACATATCTAAATTGGATTTTCTGGGACTTTTTTTGGTTTACATTTGTTTAAATTTGTCATTCCAGCTCCATGCTCTGTCTGGTGATAGGGTATGTGATTTTGAAGACCCCGCCTTGGCTCCTCTGAGAGATACTGAGAGGTTTGAGATTGTGCAGCGTTTGTTTGCCTCTGCTGACATTGCCCTGGAGAGGATGCAGCTGTCTGTGAAAGCCACCATCCTGAAGGACTCTTGCATCTTCCCACTAATTCTTCATATCACTCTAAGTGGGCTTTGCACTCTAAGTAAAGACCATGAGTAATGTCTTTGTCAGAACTACGTGCTACTGACCAAGGCTGAGTACTTTAGAGAATTGAGAAAATACTGTGGGATTTGGGTCCAAGCATGTTAAAAGATGGCCAGTGAATTCCAAAGCACAATAAGTGGTGACTTTCCACACTAAATGCCTGCAAGCACTGTGCCAACAGTCAGTGACCCCGGGAACCATGGTAAATCCTAACATTTGAGTTACTTGAGGGAAGAGTCAAGGGCTTTGTACTTCATCCACCTGTCACCTTATTTTACACTCACTGCTGTTATACAAAAACAGAAAAAGTCTGAGACTTCAAAATTCATCTCAGGCTGTGAAAGCTGTAGGAAAGCAATTTCTCCTCACTTCTTTCCGACATGCTGTCTGTAACATAGTGACTGGGAGACTGTAATGCTACTTGAGCATATGAAACAAAATTGTATTAAGGACATCTTATCTTACCCACCTCAACATGGGGACTTAGATATATTCCTTTGATTTGACTTTGTTATGCTTTGATGAACATACTATGTCTGGAGCAATTCCAGTGGATTCTGGGAATTTGTCACATGCTGCCATTTCTATCAAAAGAAATTCTGAACTATGTATAGTTTGCTATTTATTCTGTTTTGATGTCCTTCTGCTTCGGCAGATTTGGACAGTTTCCCCAAGCCTCCAGATTCCACTCAGAGTATCTGTTATTATAGACCAGACCCAATGCCTCTGGACTGAAGCAGCAGGGAGATGCAGTTTTTACCTTCACTTCACCCACATGGCCCCTTCACATTATGAGGAAGAGTAACAAAAATGAAATAAAATAAACATAGACTCCACCTTATGCAGCTGTCTTTTACAGGGCTATACCAGTGGGACTGCTCAGAAATAAAGTGATCACAAGTTAGGAAGGAAATGCAAATGTATGCAGTTGTGCAGAGTTGGTGCTGTGTCTCATCTATTTCTGATATAAGACATAAAAAGCATGCTATGGACAGAACATATATGAACCTACAGGTGGAAAACACACATGTATATGCATGGGAATGCATGTCTAAAGTTCAGGAGAAACCTGGAAATGGAGTATTGCAATTCAGGGACTTTGTGACTAGGACAAAAGGCAAAAAAAAAAAAAAGTTATTTCCTCACCTTTATAATCTGGTTAGAATTTTGTATTATTCTAATTAAGAAAAAACCCCTGAATGATGGTTCATATAAAATAGGAAATATAAAAGGGACTGGAGACAGTTCAGTAGTAAGTGATGTACAAGCATGGAAACCTGAGTTGGCTCTCTGGCACGCATGTAGAATGCCAGACATTTGTGATCACACCTGTAATACCAGCACTGGAAGGCAGTCTGGGCTTGCTTGCTTGCCAGAGTAGCCAACCAGAGGGCTTCAGTTTTAGTCAGAGAACCTGTATGGGCAAAACAAACCCCAAATATGGAGAGCAGTAGATGAAGATATCTTTAGCCTCTATGTGACATGTGAACATACACACACACACACAAAGGGCACTTCTGGAAAGACTGCCTGCTGCACAAAGCCACACTGCAGTGTTTTGATGGGTCGCTGCCCTCTTCCTGCAGGCCTAGTATTAAGCTGTAACCCACAACAGGGCTGCTTGCTGAAACACATGGTGACTCTTTCCTGGGCAGATGGGAAGTGGCTATAGTGACTCATGCTGTCTAAGTTTAGATTGTTTACCAAGAATGACCAGCCTTGAGGCCCATTCCCATATAGAATACATGCCTTTAGGGCTGCAGCTCCAGGGAGTGGCACATGGTGACAGCTATCATTAAATCCTGATCTGCTATTAGGCCTCTGTTCTTTTATCATAGTTCTGTCAAATGGGAAAGATGGCCCTAGACAGCAAGCAACCAAAACAACACTGGTGTATCTTTGCTGTGTCAATCTTCCATCTGCCCACTCTTACCTCTTTAAATTGTTCAAGTGTAACCTGGGTCAAGACCTCAAAGAGATTAGAGGATGGTAGCATATATGGAATGCTTAAGCCCAATGCCTATATAAGTGTATAAACTGGTACCATTTTCTGTGTGAGGCTGCTTCCCTATGTGCGTTGGCCAGAACTAGGCACATATTATTAGAGGATTTTTCCTCTATTAATTTATATGTGCTCAGAGTGACTCCTCACTGCAAAGGCAAGCTCATTCTACAATAGTACAGCACCTAACTGGCTCTTCCTGCAAAGGCTAAGTATTTCTCACTTGGACTATGCTTATTAACAGTGTAACCACTAACAAGCTCTCTGACATAAGATGTAATCATGTCTTAACTGCTAAAGGCTTCTGGCTTAAAATAACATATAGCTCAGAAGGGGTTTTGTTTCTTTCTGGGGTGTTGGTGTGTGCCTAGGACCATGTGTACATTAAGGTTGCAAAGCACTCCACCCCTAAGCTCCCACCCTTTTCAGCTGAACAGATTTAATGTTGTGATCTTTCTTTCCTCTTGACTAGTTAGGTCTCGCTCACTCTCTTGGGTGGTGGTCAGAGACTGCTGCTTCCATTCACCCCAAGGCAGAGTGGAAGCCCGTGACAGCACTCTTTGTTGTAATTCATGTTACTTAATAAGTCTTTGGTATACTTTTGTCTGGGTTCTCGTGGAGTCACATACATCTTCCTACATTTGGTACCCAATGTGGGGCAAGTACATCCACATAGACCTGAGAAAGCTTAAACTAAGCTGAGGACAGCTTACTGGTTGTGTCTCTCATGCAGGCCATGGTGCAGAGATGTCATGAAATTCAGGCTTGAGCACAGCATGGTACCTTCCTGCCATGGTACATACAGATATCTCCAAGCTGGACAGCATGCTGCATGGTAGATTTTTTTCTCAGAGCAAAAAAATAAATAAAAATTAAAAAAAAATAAAAATTTTGTAGGTAGTGTGCAACAAGTAGCTTGCTGGTGGCATGGACCTGCTGCTTCCCAGAGCTGGCAGTGAACATACCTCCACCATGTTGGAAAGCAGAATGGGGTAGTACCAGCATCCAGGGCTGTTGCCTCGGTCCTAACTAAGCCTGCTTATCATTTTAAAAACTCTCCTGGTCAAAAAAAGGATTACAGATACATAATAATGACAGATTCAGACAAAAAAGACTTCTGAATAGGGCACAGTGTGACTGATAAATACGCATATGTTTGGGAAAGAGAAAAAGAGTAGAAACAGACATAGATTAAAATAATGACTTAAAAATCCTTAAAAAAAAAAAAAATATATATATATCCATGTAAAGATGGAAAATACCCAGAATCTGGGTTATGTATATTATTGTGTTTTCTTTAAATTTTTTGACTATTAATGAGCTAACTGCTTTGCTTGGTGGGGGCTACTGAGTTAAAACAACATATATATTTTAAGGGTATCTTGGAAATAGAGGTTCTGCTTTTGTTTCCACAGAAGATAAAAACCTGTGGATTCCTTCCAGGCTAATATGGTTTGCAAACAAGACCCCCTGAAAGGTCTCTGTGAACCCTAAAGATACTTAGTCCATAGACAGCAGGAAGTAGTTTCAAGAAAATGAGTACTGTTTTCTAATAAACATAAAGGTGCCCATAAAGCTTCACAATATGGAGAAAAACCAGGCTGCAATATAAATTTTAGGCACAAGGAAAAGGAAGGGCAGCTTCAGAGTGCTAAGATCAGTCTGCTCTGATGTAAACATGTCAGAGGATTTCAGTTTTGTTTGATTAGTGAATGGCCTGCTTAGCAGTTAGGGACTTGGAATGAAACTCTAAGGGGACTCCTAGATTAGGACCACCAAAAGGCAGGCCATATTATCTTCCAGACTGCAGCTCCATCAAGGAGCTCTCTTAATTTCAGGGACGGGTTCCTGAGCAGCTCACCATCTGCTACTTCACCTCAGAATGAGGTGACTGTACAGGGACTAACAGAGAAGCAACCTTGGGTAAGAGAATACATTTAATAAGTAGTCTCAAAGGCTTACCACATCACAATCACAAGTTACTCCTTAAAGTTTAAGATGAAGACAAATATTAACTTAGTCCTATGTAACACATGGAAGAAAGGGGAGATTAAACGCTATAAAAACCACATGGGCAAAAGCAGGATTTTAGTCAGTAGAAGTAGTATGACTATTTTTGCTTTTATCACAAGAGATTATTTTTTCAAGACAACCTTGTAGTGTTTTGTCCAGATGGTACATATCATGCTTACCTTAGAAAAGAGAGCATCATTCTCTCGCTTTTTAGTTCACTAAGGACGTGTGATTCTGTGCATTTTTCAAAAGTCACTCCAGGATAAAAAGTAACAAGATAAAATAAGAGAAATATTTTAAAAGAATATAACTTTAAAAGCTAAAACAAAATTCAATTTAAAAATAACCTTACCTTAAAAAACTATAGAATTCTCATCTACTTCAAGTGTATCACATACACTTACAAAAAGACCCATATGATGCTGAATTATACATCAAATGTACTCTTAAAAATCTGTAAATAATATTCAGTTATATACAATAATCTCATTATTTAAAATACGGAATTTCTCCTAAGAACTTTAAATACATTACCGATGCTATAATCACTCTCACAGCAAATCCCTTGAACAGGAGGAGGGCAGGCACTGTAATCTTTAAGTCTAACTTATAGTACAATTTCACTTCAAAGTTTAAGTAAATATTCCCCAAGAGGCTTCTATCCAGAAATATTTTTTCTTAAGTAAATTAAACTTTAATAATGAAAAACAGTTTTCTGAGCTTAGTTTCTCTAATAAAATCTTCAGAAAGATCAGTGTCGGCTTCAAGGTGGAACCAAAGCCTCTTAAAAGAATCTAAAATAGATCAGAATGTCTAGAATTTGAAATTAATTAAAAACCTTAGAACACTAGCCGTAACACGTAGGCAGATATATTTAGCTTTATTATTCATAAAGTTTGGAAGATAGTTACATATTATACACATAGCTGTGTGTGTATATATATATGTACATGTTTTTAAAAAATGAACTGTTTATGCACACAAAACTTCAGGACTGTCTTTCCTTATTTAGTGTGAAGATTAGTTAATGTGGAGGTAGGGTCCTCCAGTCTAATTCTGTATAATGAAAGACTGTTTCAGTAGACACAAAAGTAAGTAGATTGTTTTTTTTTTTTTACCATTTTCAAACTTTTTATATTTTGAACTTACCCATTTAAAACAATTATAACTAATTTGGTGGCGTTGGTAATCAACTTCAATCACTGAGTCATGATACTTGCTATACATAAAAATAATGATCATTTTAACTAATTTTTAAGTAGGATCATGTCTTGCTGGGGAGTAGGCCCAGGATCTCATCTCACACATCTTAGTTAGGCACATACTTTATCAAAGCTACAGCCCTGGGCCCTGGTTTTTTGTTTTGTTTTTGAGCCTGTTACACCATGCAGGCTAGCCTCCAACTTACAAACCCCCTGCTTCAGCCTCCTGAGTGCTTGTATTACTAAGCCTGGCAAAATGATCATTTTTGGCCATTATTATTGCCATAATCAATGTCTTGCTATTAAATTATACTGCTAACGAGCTATTTTCTAAATACGTTTCAATACCAAATTTGGCATTTTAAAGAATTTTTTACAGTTTCTTATAAATAATATTATTAGACTCTAGAATCTAGGATTTTGTTCTATTTGGTTTATAATAATTTCTGTTTTAGAAAGCTATGGTGAGCAATTGTGTCAAGTCAGCCAAAACAGACACTCCTAATGATCTGACACCTGATATTGTCTAAAAACACAAAAATTATGGAAACTGCATAATAAAAGCACAGCAGTAACAAAGGCGTAAATTCTACTGTAGGGCACTGAATATATTCTATTAGGAAAGGTTAAATGACTTGTTCAGAGACATCATCTGTACAGGCATTTGTACATTTAGAAATGAAAAAATACATATAACCATTAGTTGTAAAGAAATGACAATGTCCTGAACACTAAATGTGGAACTCATTCTACAGTGCATTTAGGAAGACACTTATAAAACGTTTTCCCAAAGAACATGCACGTGTGTGTATATTTTATCTATTGCCAATTATTGAACGCCATTGTAAGCCCCTTCATCTTCAGTTTATTATAAACAAGTTTGTTATGTTAGACCCTTCCCAGGAGAGAAGTATGAGTTTCCTTGATGGCAGTACTTAGGAAGAATTATGGTGTAAGGCCTGATGATGGT